TGCTGATCGACTTTGAGGGCTGCAGAGTGATGATCATTTGGTACATTGCTGAAGAATGTCGATGAATTTCTTGAAGAGAAATTTCCAGAGTGTGTTTTGAAAAGAATTTGGGAACATTTCAACTATTTGAAATGCTAGGCAACGGGTTTAGAGGTATTCTAACCAATGATGAGCCTTTCAGCAGGTTTATGCTTTGAACGAATGCCTGTGCTAAGTATTATAGTAGCGGCCTAGCAGCAATGCCTGGATAAGGTGATCCGTGGGTATAAATAATATTATAAATAGTACTGGGCCTAGGTCGTAGGCCTAGCCTAGATAGCTCTAGTAGTAATAGGTCTAGGCATAGGAGGATAGGAATTTTCCACGAATTAAAGGTATACATTGTGAAGTGATGACAAACATTGCGAATCAGCGGTTATTTAAAATACCATAACCCCATAACGGGGCGTCGTATCCAAAATGGTTTTTTTTTTAGCAAAATGTTCTTAAAAGACTAGTCTACACCACTATGTGATTGAAAAAAAAAATTGAAAAATGTTTTTGACCTTTGAAATCAAGATGGAAAAGAAAACGCCTGTCTAAGTAGTGTCTTAAAATAGGCCTATGGATATGTATTACAGTGCAGTAGCATTAGTACAGTACGCTCGTGTTGCTGTTCCAGGTACCGATAATATTCAGTTATAAAGTACAAGTTATGTGTTATAAAGAAGTGTAGTATAGTAAATAATGTTTTTAATACAGGAAACTATCATATTATGGTAACTAAAACAATGCCAGTCCAGTGTATTACTAGTACTACTGCAAATTAAATATTTGTATACTTAATTTATGTTTATTTTCTTTTATGCAAGTTAGGATTGTTATTATGTTATTGTCATTTTCTTTTTATGTACCTATCATGCTCACTTTTTTTTTCTCTTTGTAGCAGACCTAAATTTTTGAAGGGGACAATGAAAGGATGGATTCAACTGTGCGTGAACTCTTGAGTGGTCCCCAGCACTGACTATCTTGCTATCAGTCAGTCATGTCCTAAATGTATAGTTCTGGGAATGGGTAACAAACAATTATTCAACATTATTTTGAAGTTAATTCAAGTAAACAATGTACTCACAATTAACTTAAAGCAGTTTACTTAAAATCAAATTTATCTACTTTCACTCAATAGACTTTTAAATATGTATCACTTTCTACACTATTGTTTTCTGAAGTTTCATTTCCTTTAAAATTTTGTTTAAGATGTATGATTTTTTTATTTGTGTTTGTGTTTATAAATTTTGGATTTCATGTTGAGTATCTGGGTTGCCCTCCATCGATAATAATTACAGTATTAGGAAAAAGTTAACTATAATTATGAAATATCCTAGTGAAATTTTAATAACTTCCTACTTTTTTGGACATTTTCACAATGAAATAACAGCAAGATGTGATTAAAATATCAATACAATTTGATTGAAGCAGATGACAGGCACAGTTTCAAAATTTATGGAATTGAGATAGATTACAGTATGTCGCACAATTGGCACGGTTTTTGGACTCATTGCTGGTAGCTCATCAATGACTTTTTTTATCTTTGTCATTGTGAAAAGGCCCTAGAAAAAAATTTCTGGGAAAAATGTGGACCTTTGAAAATTGTTGGGGGGTCGTACGACCTTCCCGATCCCCCTTGCATACACCCATGACATGGGAATATTGCAATGAGGTGATTTAATCAGTCAATTTAATGGGTGTTACAAACCACCACTACATTATTTTGTTTTTCTAATTACATCATATGCTATATATTGGGTAATTCCATGGTAACTGATGTTACATTTAATCCTTTATTATATTCACGTATAAATTGAAATGACCCTTACATTTACACCCTAAATTGGATTGTCACCAAAACATTTTAATTTTTTTTTTCTTATTTGGTTCAACATTCCCGATCATTTAGATCAGTTGATCGTTTTTTTTTTTTTTTTTGTTTTTTGTTGTTTTTTTTTTAATATCCTGTGTGAAGTGTTTACCTTTAAATCCATTTAATTGACACTCACATCCACACCTCACTCTAGACTGTCAATAAATTTTTGGAGGCACATCCTTAATACGTGGTCTGTGCTTGGACAAAGTTTTAAAAAGATTTAAGCAGGGAAAAGTGCCGGCTGAAAAACTAACTGCAGAATGATAAGAAAAACGATATGGGGGAAAGAAATCACAACAACAACAATGGCTTTCCAGCTACTCCTAGAAGGTTACATACAAGTTACTGGTGCAGATACAGAAGCTATGGCCTATGCTGAAAAAATAAATCCTATGTTGCCATGAGTGATGAGACTGTCAATAAACTTTAGGAGGCACATCAATGATATGTGGTTTATGCTTCGAGAATTTTTTGAAAAAATCCAAGCATGGAATATGACCAAAGTGCTGGGCGAAAAAAACCCTAGTGCAAAAAGAAAATAAAACAAAATAATAGCTTTTCCAGCTACTGCTTGTAAAAGCACCATCACCATCAGTCATCATACATCATTATTAACATCATCAAGCATCTTAAATCATTATCACCATCAACCATCTTAAATCACCATTACCAACAACCATCTTAAATCAATATCACCATATTCATCATTAATTAACATAACTATCAATGATATTAAATCATCATCAC